CATAGGCAGCAGTATGGAGACCACTGCACTAAGGTAATACATTTAGTGTGCAGCAATGGCTAAGGACTTCTAACTTTTCTTCAACTTTCCTGAAGTGCATAGTTATTCCGGGCACCGACTAAAAAATAGTGAAATCAGTGGGTCAACATGACAGCTAATCAGCCAGCAAAAATGGGTAAAAATAAAAGCAGACCCTAGATTTTTCTTTTGCTGTTTACTTCTGATCTCTCAATAGTGTGGGATGAAACTCACCAATATAGATAAGCTACCAGAGTAATCCCCCCACACACACACACACACACACACAAATGTAATCATTGTTCACAGATACACAAACCTGCTGTAAAAAATTATGAATATTTTTCCTAATTATATTTTTAACTAATTCAGTTTCAATTTTAAATGCAACAAGAAACTTTAACCAAGTTGGTTCGTTGTGCATGATAACATTATTTGGATTTATTGCAAGAGCCGGTGAATCATGTTTAGCAAGGATCAATACCTTGAGGCAATTTACTTTACTGTTAACACTCACAGTATCATGATTGAATAAATTAACAAGCCTCATAGCAGCTGGGATGACATATGTGCATGCTGCCTATAATGTATATACTGTAAGTCAAGAGTTCTGTTGCTTTTTTAGATACGAGTCTGTACTGACCAGCAATTTTCCATCATACATTATGGCTGCATACATATCACCTTGTCACCATTGGCTTACACTTATCACCAATGTCTCCTTGACTGACAGACATAAAATGTATCCAGTTTAAAAATGGACAATTAATATCTAGGGTGAGTACTTAAAAAAATGTAATATCCAAGGAGCTAAGCTATTCACCCATTTGTAAGCAGCCTTGTCAGACTGTGGCTAAACCCTCCATGTTGGCTAAATTAATAAATCAGAAGTTCTAATTTGATCTCGGTTCCTAGGGTGCCTCCAGAGGTTGCTAAAGATTTGTTGAGCAGTTTCTACCTCTCCAACTACTGATACCATTGATCTTTTAGCTATCTGTAGGGAGGCATTCTTCCCATTATTTATTTATTACATGTACTTATATAGTGTTTTCAATTTATGCAGCGCTTTACATACACTGAACATTCACATCAGTCCCTAACCCTCAAGGAGCTTACAAGCTAAGGTCCCTAACTCACATTCATACATACACATTCTAGGGCCAATATAGACAGGAGCCAATTAAACCTCCCAGCTTGTCTTTGGAGCATGGGAGGAAATCAGAGTACCCGGAGGAAATACTACAATTGTCACTGTCCGCATTTCTGTTCAGGCCATTATTATTATAATATTGCTGTATAGAGCAGCCCTGGATGTAAGCCACATTCCGTATTCTTTTATTTTTTCTGGTATAAGAATTCTTATACTGTATCTGTATACTAAAAAACATAAGGATGCAGAGCTTCAAATATCAAAAGATGCAATGTAAATAAAAGTCCAATTCGCATGTGAAGAATAAATTCCTCTTCCTTAGGACACCAATATTATCATGATGCTTCAAATTTAATCAAGAAGATGGGAAAAGTTCACCATCACCAACACCCAAAGAAATCCAGCCTCTTACCAGACCATATAGACCCCCAATTATGAACGGGTCAAAATACGTGACAGAAATCCCAAAGATCAGAATGTGGACCTGGATGCTAAATAGCTCCAAAAGGATCAAGCTGTCTCCCAGTAATGAGTGGATAAATATCTGCTGAATTGATCCCAAAAATAAACCATGGTTCAGATGATGAAAATGGCTCCGAACTAATTGCTACAGAGAGTAGACCTGCAGAAAGTGGATTATTCTCATAGAGGATAGTCCCAAATTAAAAAAAGCAGAAAAATCCTCATAGTGTAATAATTTATGAAAGATGTATTGCCTTAAAACAAAGTATCAAACGTACATCAATGAAAATAGTAAAACAGCATGTCACCATAGTAAACAATGAGGAATTTATTCTGTGTTCACATGCAAATTGGACTTTCATTTACATTGCATCTTTTGATATTTGAAGCGCTGCGTCCTTATGTTTTTTAGTATATGTATTGTTGCCTGCAATATTGTGGTGGCTGCTCATGTTTAATTTATTTATTTTTAATAGATGCATATTTACCATATCGCCGAATTGTTAAAATATTTTTTGTATCTGTATACTGTTGACACTAATGTACTGTGAACTGCAGATGGTAAAGTAAATACAAGCCCAAATACCTGAGAGTTACTTCAAAGGTTCCTTTATGCTGAAAAGCTGAGAAGGGATGGTCTATGCGATCAAATCACTTAGTTTGCCGTGATTTCTTCACGATAAATCATGCGACAATCACGGGAAAACCACACAGCGTTTTAGGTGGCATTGAAATGAATGGCACATAAACACACATGGTGCATTTTGCCAGGATTACAGTGAAACATGGAATCACAGGCTGAATTGTGGCGATTCTGCCCATGATCTCAGTCGCTAGATGTGAACGGGGTCTAAAACACACTCTAAGCCCTGGTTCACATTGATCCAGTATGGGAAAGGTAGCGATCCCTGTGCGTTTCCCATACTGCATTGCAAACGCAGTGTGTTATGAGATCTGCTGCGGGTGTCAATTCAAAGTTAATGACACCCCAAAAGCAGGTCACAAACGCAGTGTGTTTGCATGAAATGGATAGCATGATAAAAAACAACCATGCGATCTGGTTCCAGTGTGGCCACAAAAAAAGGTTCCTGCACTTAACCTTACTTTTGCTGATGAAAAAGGTTCCTGCACTTGACCTTACTTTTGCTGATGAAAAAGGTTCCTGCACTTGACCTTACTTTTGCTGATGAAAAAGGTTCCTGCACTTGACCTTACTTTTGCTGATAAGAGTAACTATCAAACATTATTATTATTATTATACAGTATTTATAAAGCACCAACAGTTCGCTCAGCGCTGTACATTACAAAGGGGGACAGAACATGTGACAGTACAATAACAATACAATGTGATACACAAGGGGTTCGAGGGCCCTGCTCCTTCGAACTTACAATCTAGGAGGGAGGAGGGATGTACATGTTTGATAGTTACTCTCATCAGCAAAAGTAAGGTCAAGTGCAGGAACCTTTTTTTGTGCCACACTGGAACCAGATTGCATTTTAGGAGAAAATCTGAAAAAGAATTAAAGTGGTTGTAAAGACTTAAGGTTTTTTTTACCTTCATGCATTGTATACGACCTTCTGTGTGCAGCAGCCCCTCCAAATACTCACTTGAGCTCAATCTCCGTTGTGCAAAGGAGACTCAGCTTGCCCAGGTCTCCTCCTCCTCATTGGCTGAGACACAGCAGCAGAAGCCATTGTCAGTCACAGTCTGTGAAGAGGGAGCAGGGAGAGGGCCGAACCCCACTCTGTTGTACCTTATGGATGCAGAGAGTGCTGCTCAGGGACGAGCACGCACCAGTGCCCCCATAGCAACGGCTTGCTATGGGGGCACTGCTCAGTTGGGAGGGGCCAGAAGCACCAGCGGGGGACCCAAGAAGAGGAGGATTGGGGCTGCTCTGTGCAAAACCACTGCATAGAGCAGGTAAGTATAACAAGTTTGTTTTTAAAACTAACCTTTAGTATTGCTTTAAATAAACCTAGAAATCCCATTAAAAGTGTTCAAACATACAAATTCTCTGCCAAATGGAGTGGCTATGGCCATTAACATTAGTAAACTATGGAATATATGAAAGTCCTTCTTCTTTAACTTATTTTTTCATCTGTAACTATTAGAATTAAATCCAAACTTCAGGCAGATATAAAAATGCAGTTTAACGCAGATATTGATTTGTTAAAAATAAACAAAATTTTAAATGCAATGATCGTGACGACCTGAATGTGTACTGATATCAGCCTCTTGTATTCTCTGTACCATAGGATTGGAAGAGAGGAGGGTCAGTACTGTGAGCCAATCAGGCTGTGTTGTATGCACATGTGCTGACAAGAAACATGCCAACAAAAGAACAGAGAAGGCAGATGACCCTATCAGTGGGTCCCTGCTTCTTCTTTGGTCAATCTCACACTGGGGAAAGGGAGGTGTCCAAGCTGCACAGCGAGAACAGTGAGATCATCAAGCAGGCGGTACTGTCTGTCAGTGTAAATCTCTGGGCTTGTTGGACAAAGTGACTAATTGTTTGCGAGATGAAACACTTTGAACTTCAATTGTGTATTTAACTGTTTTCCTGGAGTTCAGCTTTAATGGATTGATTTACCCAGTGAGTTAATATGGTGCTCATTGAGAGGGGTCAGGAAGGATTTTTCTTTGCTGTGAGGATTAACAGACAGCTGGAAGATGGAGATTTATTGTAACTTCTTCTGGATCACCAGTTTCAGAATCTATGAGAATGGGTTAAACTTGACAGGCTTCTGTCTTCTTTTAACTCTAGCTACTAAATATTATTATAAATAGTATTATGAAGAATAACAAAGTGTTAAACCAGTTTTGGTATTGAATAACCAAATTACCGTATTTTTGCGCTCCATAAGACGCACTTTTTTCCCCCAAAAAAAGGGGGGAAAATGTCAGTGCGTCTTATGGAGCGAATATGGAGCGGCCGGTCCGGTATTTCCACCGCTGCCGTGTCAGAATACCGGGCCGGCTGCTCAGCTCTGCAGCAGGACCTTACCTGTTCCTCTATCCAGCGGCGCGCTGTCTTCCTGGCTTCTGTAGTGTGGGCGCTGGGCTTGACAGCCGGGTGCCAAGTGCTTATGCGCAAGAAGCGGTGCTCTTTGTGAATGGTAAGGCGGCACCTGGGAGACATGACAGGTCCCAGAAGTTGCCGGACCAATCACAAAGTGCAGCGCTTCTCGCTCATGCGCACTGGGCATCCGTCTGTCAAGCCGAGCGCCCACATTACAGAAGCCGGGAAGACAGCGCGCGGCTGGATAGAGGAACAGGTAAGGTCAAAGAACAACTCCGCAGAAGTAAGAGCTGGTACCTGTCAAATTCAGGTACCCGCTCCCCCTTCTCCCCAAAGGTCAGCAGTCATCTCCTGTACTGTCCACAATCTCTGGTCATCTCCTGTACTGTCCACAGTCTCTGGTCATCTCCTGTACTGTGTCCGCAGTCTCTGGTCATCTCCTGTACTGTGTCCGCAGTCTCTGGTCATCTCCTGTACTGTGTCCGTAGTCTCTGGTCATCTCCTGTACTCCTGTACTGTGTCCGCAGTCTCTGGTCATCTCCTGTACTGTCCACAGTCTCTTGTCATCTCCTGTACTGGGTCCGCAGTCTCTTGTCATCTCCTGTACTGGGTCCGCAGTCTCTGGTCATCTCCTGTACTGTCCGCAGACTCTGGTCATCTCCTGTACTGTGTCCGCAGTCTCTGGTCATCTCCTGTACTGGGTCCGCAGTCTCTGGTCATCTCCTGTACTGTGTCTGCAGTCTCTTGTCATCTCCTGTACTGTGTCCGCAGTCTCTGGTCATCTCCTGTACTGTGTCTGCAGTCCGTTAGTTCAGAATATTTTTTTTCCTGTTTTCAGCCTCTAAAACCTAGGTGAGTCTTATGGTCAGGTGCGTCTTATGGAGCGAAAAATACGGTATCTCATTGCACATCCAACAGATTTTTAATGGTTTTTGGTATAGCCCAGGTTAGCATTAACTCGGTTGAGAATATTCATTTGAAAACCCAGGCTCTAAAGAGTGACCTAACTGTGTGAAACAACGGGGTTCATTTATTACAGGGAGAGAGCAGAGACTAAAGCTGACCATAGATGGATCAAAATTCCTGCTGAACCGGGAAAATTTCAATCCATCTATGGGCAGGCTGGTTATACTGAAGTCGATCCATCAATCGACTTCAACACAACCAGCCTAATGTTTTATCTCGTGTGACAGCTGGCAGCAGTAATCACTGTATTCTGAGGGCAGGGAAACCTCCTGCTGCCAGAATACAATAGCACAGCGGGAGGGATTTCCTGATCCACACTAAATGTGTAGATGGGGAATTGCGTGAAAGAAAATCGACTAATGTATGGCCAGCCTATGGGTCAGGTCACACTGCCCCGCACACTAATCTGCAGTGGTTGGTGTGCGGGTAGCGCTCCGTTGCCGCTCCGGTGACCTGGTGGTAGAGGGTGGTGTGCTGCGTGATTCAGCACAACGGACAGCTCCCTTTTTTTTTTAAACAAACTTTTTTTGAAGTGCACAAAAGGTACACTTTATTCATGTCCCTGTACAGCATGGTGCGATGTGCTGCTGTACAGTAACATGCAATCCTGTACAGTGACTGCAATAAAATGCAGCATATCTGCATTCTATCCTGGATCAATGCAGTGCAGCTATTGCAGTGTACATAAGGCACACAGAAAACAATTGTTTCCTGTGTGTCCTAGCAATGACGGGTGTTTTACCGCACTGGTGACTTGGCCCTAAATGTTCGGTGAGCTTAGTAAATAAAGTGAAAATGTGCTCATTTCAATCAAGCAATCGTCTAATAGCAAAAATCCTCTTTTTCAAATTTCAAAATTGTGTATTTAAAATGAAAGACAGGAAATCTGAGCAAAGCACAAAATTCTATAGTGTTTACTTGCCTCTCTCCAAAGCACTAAGTGTCATTTCTCTCTGCTGACTAGTTCTTCTGTTATCTGCATGGGTCATTTCTGACAAGTTTCCCTGACACCAAGAGGTCAAAAGGTGACTGGGGAGAGTTCCAGCACACAGCTTGTGATTGACAGCCTCAGATCTGCTCCTGTGTGCTGTGTGATAGGGGTTGTGTCCCTTCCCTTCAATCAGCTCTCAGAGTTTTTGTGCAGTGTGTAAATGTAGCTCCTCGCCCCCTGCTTTGTGAGTCTTTGAAAAATCCGTTTCATCTGAGATTTACAAGGCTGTACAGGACAAACTGCTATAGATAAACAGGTACCACATATTTAGGATTTTTACCTCTGTGTATCACCTGAGGCCAGTCACTTCACTGCATATAAGTAAGGCTCTATTCACACCTGAGCGATTTGTAGCTCGAAGCTCCAAAATGTTTAAGGAGAAAAACATTTATTATTATCAATATGGTTTACATCTCCACTCCAAGTTGCCTGAAACCAAACCCCTGATGCTCAAACAAGCTCTGGAGTTTTTTGGCTGCTCAGTTCAGGCAGATGTGCGTTTTTGGGCATTTTTAGTTTCATAGAAATGAATGGAAACATGCAATTCGCACGTTTTTGAGCGATTTATTGCTCAAATGAAAAAATCTAAAAAAATTTATAATAAATAAATGTTAAAGAAATAAAATAAATACACAAATAAATAAAAATAATTATAAATAACAGATATATAAAATAAATAATATGCAATAATAAATAAATAATAATTAACCTTAACCCCCAATCCTAAAAATAAATAAATAAATAAATAAATAAATAAATAATGATAATAATAACAAATTAACCCCCTAACCCTGAAAAAATAAATAATTATTATTATTATTATTATTATTATTATTATTATTAATAATAATAATATTATTAATAATAATAAGAAGAAGAAATAAATAAACACCCTCACCCTAACAAACATAAATAAATTCATTCATTCCTAAAACATACATAAGAAGACAATAAATAAAATATTAACCCCTAACCCCAGAACCTAACCCCTAACTCTAACTCCTAACCCTAAAGTGTTACTAAACCCAAGACCCTGCATTTACTCTATCTGGTCTCTTACAGTACACAGAACATGGAAGTGCAATTATTTTAGTAAATATAAACTGCTAAATCCCTTTTCTCATCAGCAGTTAGAGCAGTCTTGTGACTTCTATCAGTGTCCAGCCCAGTACTGGTTAAAGCTTGTAGCAGGAGTTTTCATTCTGCTTTAGGAAGATGCAAAACCCCTGACCTCTGTCTGGACAGTGCTGATTTGCCCTTTGCTGATCACATGCACCCTCCTCCCAAGAAAGAAAAAGCCCTCTCTAGCATTACACACCAGACTGAGCATGTGCAGAGTGACTCCACACGATATGTCTTATCAAGAGATAAGAGGGGGACACTGGAAGAAGGGGAGGATCAGAGAAGTCAGGATCAAACAGCCTTTTTATAAAATGCAGAGGATTAACCCCTTAGGTTCCACAGTGACTATAACAAGCATGCTTTACTGCATATACAGACTGATTTTACTGTTATGGGTCTAACACTTTAAAGTAGCTCTATAGGCAAAACATTTTTACATTTTTGATACAGCAAGGGGAGTCGGATTTTTTTTTCGCCATCTGTGTCCCATTGCGGAGATTCCCCTTCACTTCCTGTCCCATAGCCAAACAGGGAGTGAGAGGAAACCCCTGCAAATTAAGAGAATTCCTTGGAGACCCCCAGGTCACCAGAACTAGTGTACCTATTGGACAATTTCCCCTCTATTACTTTTCTGGGGACAACCCAAAATTTGGGATTTTCTTTTACTTTCACATTCAATGATAATGGTAAATAGGACAAATAGAGAGGGTGAATATCCTTAACTGGGGCACAGACAGCAATAAAAATTGACAAGCTTTCTAATCCCTCTGCACTCAAAACTTCAAAACTAAAAAAAAGGTTTGATTTTGGCAATACTTTAACCCCTAACATTAACCCAGACCCTAACACTTAACCCCTAAAACCAAACCCTGAGCCCTGGTTCACACTGATGCAGAATTTGCAGCGTTTTCTGTGCAAACTCTGCACTGCAACAGAATTGTACCCCGTTCATGCAAACCGCTGTGGGTGTGTATGTTGAGTTAACAACACCCTGAAGGTGGTCTGCAAAATGCGGTGTGATAAACAGAATTGGATCGCATAGGTGTGAATACCCATGCAATCCGATTCTAGTGCGGACCAAAAAAAGGGTCCTGTACGTTTTTGGCGATTAGAGCCATATAAAATGTATCGCTCCAATCGCACCGTACACAAATCGCATGTGATTTGCACATGAATGCGGTGCGGTTCCTGTGCGCATCACATGCGATGTACTGCACCGCATATATGTGAACCCAGGCTAACTCTAACCCCTAATTTATTTATTTCAGGTACTTATATAGCACCATCAATTTATGCAGTGCTTTACATATATATTATACATTCACATCAGTCCCTAACCCTCAAGGGGTGTACAATATAAGGTCCCTAACTTACATTCATACATACACATACTAGTGCCAATTTAGACAGGATCCAATTAACCTACCAGCATGTCTTTGGAGTGTGGGAGGAAACCAGGGTACCCGCAGGAAACCCACGCAGACACAGGGAGAACATGCAAACTCCAGGCAGGTGGTGCCGTGGCTGGGATTCAAACCAACGACTCTAGTACTGCCAGACGGAAGTGCTAACCATTTAGCCACTGTGCTGCCCAACCCCTAACTGTAACTCTAAAGTCTAACCCCAACCCCTAATCCAAACCCTAATACCTAACCTTAACTTTAACCCCTTACCCTAACAAAAAATAATAATAATAGTGATAATAAAAAAATTATAATAATAATAAAAAAATAAATAAAAAACACCTAGCAACAAATGATGAAACAGATTATATTTTTCTCTATTGGCTATTAAAAAATTTTTTTAAAACGCTGTAGAAAAATGTGCAAAAATGAGCATGCAAACGCACAAAAAAATGCACAAAAAAAACACAACACTTGGGTGTGAATGCAGCCTAAGGTTTTACAGTAAACATAAGTTCATTGTATTTACTAACATTCCTTGTGCTAAGGCTGGCCATACACGGCTTGTTTCCTCTCTAAACATGTGGATGAGGAAATCTCAATTGTATTCCTGCAGCCATGTTCTACATTTTGCAGGGCTATACATGGCTTGAACTACAGCCAACATTGGAGCCCGCTATGGCCAGCCTAAAACTCCTTTAGTAAATCAACACCTATGTCTATACAAAAAGTTTTGCCCATGAAGTCATTACTGCTGTTACATTTTATGTCCTTTCCAAATGGCAATCAAATGTCAGCTTGTTTTAATATCTTAGTATAATATTATCATTAACAGTTGAGAACTAAATTTTGACAGTATGTATATTAATATATGGAAATACTTTTTGCAGAGAGATGTATTTCTTTGTGATCTCTCCAGGCTGTCATATTTCTCAACTACTCAAGCTTTTTATGCAGTATATTTGAAAGACTAGCTAATGCTCCCACGGACCACATTTTGGCTAAACAATAATGTTAAATAAATTATCCAGATGATAAATGTTTAAAGTTCACTCAATTACTTTCAATGAATGCCCTTGTAAAGCCATCCATCACTTGTAAATCAAAGATATATTTCATAAACAGTGTACTAGCTTTGGCAAGGGGCCCGCGCATTCTATTTTTAGCTTCACGTTTTCATGGGAGACTGTTTCAGCCAAATTTGGAATTAAATTA